AAGTGGAAACTACAAGTGCATCATAATAGAAAAAAACCTCTTTTTAAATGTTCTAATAAAAATAATTTTTAAACTGACCTAAGTTTTGGGTGCCATTAAAGTCCGACATGCCTTCTCTGTTTCTTTTTTATATGTATTGACTAAAATATATGTACTTGCTGTGCAGAATCTATGCTGGGCTCTGACAACCCAGTCCTCTTACCTTGCATGGCCTGACCTCTTTGGAACACGGCCTCCTTGGTGCCCGACTGGACGGCCTCCTCATCATCCGCACCCAACACAGCCTTCTTGTCATCTTCGCCGCCCGACTGGAGCTCCGGCAACGCCTCCTCCGTCGGTGTCTTTGCCCTCTCCATCTTTGCCCTCTCCATCTTTGCCCTCTCCATCTTTGCCCTCTCCATCTTTGCCCTCTCCATCTTTGCCCTCCGCCTCTTCCGTCTCTGGGGCCACTTGACAAATTTTCTTCTCTCATGGGGGCCGCTTGCCAAATTTCATACTTAAAAATAAAATATAACTGTATTTGGTATGTTACTACAGGCGCCAATATACACACAATAAGGCCCTATTCATATCTGTAGGTTTAGGTGTGATTTAGGGATTCCTGCATCAGAAACTACTGCAGCCGAAATCCCTAATCTGGTGTTTACACGCGGTAACTATCACCCATTCAAGTTAATGATTAGGTGACAGCAGTTGCATGTAAACGCCTGCATACCGCATGTAATGGTATGTGATATTACATGTGGTTAGAAAACACTCTCCTGGGATGCACAATCATTGCGTCCAGGGAGAGTGATTGACTCCATACTGAATGTAAACATATCACGTATCATTACATGCGCTGTGCAGGTGTTTACATGTAATTTCTGTCACCTGATCATTAACTTAGGTGACAGCTGCCACTTGTAAATTCCAATTTAGGGACTTCTGCTGCAGGAAAACGCACATTCTTGATGCAGAAATCCCTAATTGCACCTAAAATAAAGGTGTGAATGTAGCCTAATACACTTCTACTCCCCCCTCCCCCCACCACTATATATTGTGGTATAGTGTGGCAATCCCACTGTAGAACTGGGTGTTATGATCACCTGGGACTCTCAGCCAGATGGGCTGAGACGTTTCAGGAAGCAACGGTTTGTGGGGGTTACGTTTCAGATCCTGGAACTGGGAGGTTTTATAGTGATCCAGGAGGGAAGATGAGATCCTCAGGCCTAGATCCAGGCTTTAGCAGTGGCCAGCACCCGATGATTGAACAGGTGTGCTTAACCCTTAAGGAAAGGATGCTGGCTAGGGGAATTAGCTCCTGCTGGGAAAGAGGAACAGACCGTGTTCAGGTGTCAGGAGAACGCCCCCAGAAGTCAGAGAGGAGTCAGGTGATGAGTGTGCTGGAGGCACACTAAGACAGCCAGGGAGGCTGGGAGAGAACTGGTGAGGCTAGGAGAGCCGTGAGCCTGAGGGAGTGTGGGACAGCAACAAGTGTGGGACAGCACTTCAAAGAGGACCAGTGGGTCAGAAGTGCCAATGTTTAAAGTGGAAGCCAGGAGGCTATTCTTGTGTTGCCTTTCATGAAGGTTACGCTGAACAACCCCTGCGTGGGTATCCAAGATGGATATATGAACTTTGTGTTGAATAAAAGTGGGCTACCGAGCCTTTAAACCGAAGATATTGCGAGTAGACTACATTCTTAAGCGCTCACCCTATGTGCTAATATCACCGAACATCACAATATATATATCTATATATAGATTGTTAAGTCAGATTAGGGGGTCGTCAATCAAGACCTTCTAGATGAGATAGTGAGTCCAAATTGATAAAAGAATAGGTGCTTTATTCTTGCACTCTTGTGGGAAAATACAACAATGACTCGGCTTATGTAAGCTGAATCAAAGAGGAAGTATTTCTGGTAAAAACACATCAAATATAACAATTTATAGTCATGAATATGCATAAGATATAGGCATGTATAGGTGTATTCTGGGCGTGATCCTATAGTTTGTCCAATCAGATTCATATCTTTATTATCCGTCAGTAAGCAGTTAAATGGGTGGTGACATCATGTGACTAGCGAATTGAGGAACTTCCAGAAGCCCATCCCATCAATATTCAGTTAAGACCAGTTCTGACCACAAAGGTCTATTTCTTGCTCCATGACAGGAAAAGGGTGGCCAACTGTCATCTGGTTGTCCATATACTATGTCACAGACTCTGAACTTCTGTTTCCATGGCAACAACTGCGAAAGAAAGATTTGCAAGTGTATATTATCAGTCTTAAAGTAGCATACAAGCAATATAGAAATACAAGAAAGAGAGACCCCCGTATATTTACTCAG